AATTTCGTTTTGAGAAATATTTATTGGGAATTTTGGAAATGGTAGATGACTCCTATATTAGACAAATTTTGACAAAATTTGTATTTCTTTTTTTAGTATAAGAAACATATATTATTATTTTATATTCAAAATATTTTTCCAATAGACCTTAATCTAGTATAATTCAATTTCAATATTTTTAAAAATATTTTCTTATTACATACAATAATTACATTAAAATTTTTTTTATCATACTAATAAATAAATTTAATATTCTCGGTACATAAAATCTGACCGTATAAATTAAACATTTTTCTACTGTATAAAATAATAATATTGTAATACTTTGTTACTCTTCTCATAAATATTTTTAGTACTTTGTACTATATATATTAAGTACTTTTTCATTAAATAAAATACTAACTTTGTCAGTGTTCAAATTATATGAAGATTACTCTCACACTTTTGACATGATACATATCTTCCCACATTTTTAATTATCAAATTATTTTTGGTGTATAGATAATATAGATTAATTTCAACGTAATTCAACGGATAACAATTTAACGGAAATACAGTGAAACCGCATGCGAGGAATGAAAGTTACTTTAAAACAAATGTTACCCACCTGATTAAACGTACAATAATACGGAAAATTTTTCACGATCTGATAAAAGCAGGAATCTATTTTTATTATTGTGTAACCAACTGATAATTATAAAATTGCTAGCAGTTAGAAATCATCAAGTTCGTTAATTCTCTCACGTGTTGTCGTTTGTAATCTCTTTGTTATCTGAGCAGGTAGGGAACAGAAACTTTCCTTTCGTTGAATACATTTAAGGTTAAGCAATTAATCTGTATGGCGTGAATTTAGATCATGGTTTTCATCGAAATCGTACGCACCTACGATACGTGTTATTTAATAAACTATGGAAAATTGTTTTGATCAATTTCATTTGAAGATAACAAAGAAATATTACATGCCTTTTTCAGTCTACTTGAAAACAATGGAGAAATATAACTATGTGTTCTGCAGCAAAAGAATCTTGCTCAACTGAAGAGAAAGAAAGTTTGTTAGAATTCTGAGTAAAAGAAAATGTTTTAATATTGCATTTATTCATAGTATTATGAGTTTAATGAATAGTTCTATTGTTTTATAGAAAGAAGGTTTATTATTTATGTCCCTGAGAAATATTTTTCACTGTATATTTCATATTTTGAGTATTATACTTTCATGCTGTACATTACTACTCTATATATTATTTTATATTTTACGTTATATCTTATCCTATAAATTACTGTATATATCCGTCTAGAAATTATTCTATATATTACTCTATATTTTAAATTATATATTTTCCTATAAATTATTCTATATGTTTGTCTAGAAATTACTCCATATATTACTCTATATTTTACATTATATATTTCCCTATAAATTGCTCTATATATCCGTCTAGAAATTATTCTATATATTACTATACATTTTAAAATATATATTTCCTTATAAATTGCTCTATATGTCCATCTAGAAATTATTCTATATATTATTCTATTGAGTACTTTATATATTACCTTATATATTACTCTACAGATTAATTTAAAGATTACGCTATAAATTACTCTATAGGTCACCCTATATTATTTTATATGTAACCCTATATTGAATATTCTATACATACTACAAATTTTCTATTTTTCTCCTTATATTTCCAATTAGTTACAATTTTTGATTCTGCAGTTTTGGAAATTTTTATATTATATTTAAATACTGTTTGATGGAATTGAATATAAATTAGTTTCTGATTCGACAGAAATAGTTTAATTAAAATGAAAGGAGCTAACGAACAGACCATTAAAATTGGAGTGTTGAAAGGCACGAATAAAAGAAGAATTTCTTTCGATCAGTACGAGTACCGATATTATAAGATTGCACTCGTGCAATGTTTCCACCAAATGCTAATATTTTCAATTTCGCAATTCCTTGTAGGAAGAAAGTTAAGAATCTACGTAGCCTCGATGCAAATTTATGCATCACATGCTCATTACGTACTACATCCTTCGAAACAAGATCGTTACACGCGAACGAGCACTGAAACTAATCATTATCCGAGTTTATTGTTGTTTACTTGCTTCTGTTACTGCCATTAATACTGCAGTCAATTTTCATTCTCGTTCTCGGAAATAACTCGGAAATATTATTGCAGATTATTGGCAAATTTTCTACGATAAAAATAATAACGTGATAATTAATATATCAATCCTAATAAAATAAAAATAATACAATAAACAAAAACAATCTTCACCTGATAAATAAATTATCTAATAACCTTAAATATTTTAAATTCATTTGTTTCTAAAATAATATTAACTTTTAAACTAACGTTTTTTGTAATTTATTATTAAATGTATACGTTTTTGGAAAATCGTGGCCCAAAATCTACTACACGCAAATTATTATAAAACACGAAGTTATCTTAAGTATAATTCATTCGAAATAGCCTAACATTTATATACCTTCCTCACAGCGGCATTCGAGGTTTCAGAAGACCCCTTTCAACTTCCATCCTATATCTACGTCAAAGTTTCTACAATACTCACCTCACAGGCTGCCATCTTCATTATATATAGCCCCAAAGAATACTACTCTTCCTTTAACAGTCCACTTCCTGTTGCTTCCAAGAAGTAGATTATTCCAGGGTTCCTCCACTTCCTCTGGAAGTATCCATCAAGCGGTTGCACAATGCTAGATAACAGGAACAGCCAGTGATCAACTTTCCTATTACTCCTTCCTGTCTCGTTTCACGTTCACCCTAATTAAACAAATCGAGAAAGATAAATAAATTAATAAATAACATAATACTTGGAAATAATTTTAAATACTATTTAAAAATATTCTCAGTATTTATAATCAATTTAATTAATTTAATATGGTATTTAGCAATAAATTTACTATACTACAGCACTTAATAATATATTTAATACAGCACGGTATTCAATAATAAATTTAACATAGCCCAGTATTAATAATGAATTTAGTACACTACGATTCTAGTAACGAATTTTAATTAATCTTTCCGCAATACATGAATTTTAAAGATGAAAAAATAATAGACGAATCTACGAATTTTAAAAATATCTTTCACGTTTACCCTAATTAAACAAATCGAGAAAGATAAATAAATTAATAAATAACATAATACTTGGAAATAATTTCAAATATTATTTAAAAATATTCTCAGTATTTATAATCAATTTAATTAATTTAATACGATATTTAGCAATAAATTTAATATCTACGAATATACGAATAAATCTACGAATCATAAAAATATCTTTCACGTTTACCCTAATTAAACAAATCGAGGAAGATAAATAAATTAATAAATAACATAATACTTGGAAATAATTTCAAATATTTTTTAATAATATTCTCCGCCATAATATAGTATTTATGATCAATCTAATTAATTTAATACGGTATTTAGCAATAAATTTACTATACTACAGCACTTACCAATAAATTTAATACAGCGTGGTATTCAATAATAAATTGAACATAATCCATGAATTTAGTTCACCACGATTCTAGTAACGAATTTTAATTAATCTTTCTGCAATACGTGAATTTGAAAGATGGAAAAATAATCGACGAATCTACGAATCTTAAAAATATCTTTATAAATATATCTCTGCCAAATCATGATACGATTTCGATCAAGATATGGCGATAGTGGCCGCAGAGGTCGCGTAACCTTCACACCGATCGAATCTTGCGTAATGGCTTAATTACACCTGACGTGGCTGCACAACTGTTGCACTCCTAATTAGCGCGTGAAAGCACGTGACAAACTTCCCCGTGGAAAAGCGAGCGAGGAAAGTGGAATTTCCTGGGTTCGAATCGATAACTGACAGAGGGCGTCACCTTTAGATTAACGATTCATTGCTTTCGGATTTTTTCCCTTTTCTTGGAAAATCTAAATCCCCAATAACCCATAGTTTCGCTGTGCAATGAAAATGGCGGAAATTACCCGGCATTCTCTTCGAGGCTTAAGCAATTAGTATTAGGATAAGTGGATAAAATAGATGAAATATGCTTTTTTTAATTTTGAAGTAAAATATAGCCAATTTTATAACACAAGTATAGTTTGATAAGAGTCTCCCTCATTGGTTAATTAAATTCTTCAAAAAGTCCAAATGAGATTTGAATTTTCAAATTATATTTATTAAACATTTCTTAGAACGATATATCATTATAATTTTGAGACACTTGGAATTATTTTATTTTTATTCTTATATGGTCCTATAAATTGAGAAAGTCAGCTTGATCAGAAGAGAAATTATTCGATCATAGTGATAAAAAGGAATTTATGATTTATTTGTATAAACGAGTGATATTTTTCATAAACCTACATCGAATCTAATTACCGATGAAGTGCCTGCAAACACGTTAGACACCTCTATTTATCTTGGATAAAACTGGTGCTTAGAGTGACGTTCGTTGACTCCTATGAAAGCACGCGATCCGTTGATTAATCGTCGCATCAGGGATCTCGAAATACGTTTGGAAGATTTCACGTGGACATAATAATTAATCAGCCCATAAACACGTGCGTGTTAACTGGTTACAAGTGAAAAACAGAATTTCTCACACACACGAACACGCTTGGCTAGGTTTGGACATGTCCTATGCCTATTCATTTCTATTCCCAATTCAGCCAATGTTTCTTTGCATAATTTCATTAATAACATTCTCAACGATGTTCGTTTTAATACCATAACTTGCCAGTGGATTTCGTAATCTAAGCTAATAATATCGGGCCAAGTTTCTCATGGAAGGAACAGTAGGACTGTTGAAGAGTCAGCTATGGCAATTTGGCGTGTCCAGTTGCGTGATTCAAATTACCTTGTCGCGATTACCTTGTCGGTTCACCTCCAGTTTCATCAATCAAACGAGAAATCGAATGGGAGAGAAGAAAAGGAAACAGAAAAGAGGAATTCGAAACGATCCAGGTACATGAATGAAGAACAGGTTTCGTTTTATAGAGGTACCAGCGAAACGACGCGTCGACAGAAAGGAATGGGGAACTTATGGAAATTACGACGAGACAGTTTCATACTCGACTGACAACCGATGAAATTGTTTAAGCTGTTAAGAAAAATTTGTCAATGACAATGATTTGTGCTTCGCTCGTACTGACGTAAGACTAGTGTAACACTTTCACGTGTACGCCTATTCAGAAGATTAAGTCATTTAAGGATAGTGGAGAGTTATTGAGAGATTATAGAGAAAGCGTTGAAATCTTTCAGAATTATTTCATTTGTGTGAGAGGAATCTTTATTTGGATGGCGTCACTCTGTATCGAGATCTATGTTTGATTCCAGGAACCATCCAGCTTATCAATTCTCGAAACAGGGTTGAATGACGCAATGGGTTGTCATAGTTTCTAAAACTTCCTTTTGACTTATTAATCCGATCTTTATCATATTTGTATTATCAGTTCTTCTTTTCTTATTTATTTTTCTACTTATTATTACGCGTTAATTGCATTTATGAAAATTAGATTTTGGTTAGATTTCTATCTAATTCGATCTACATTAATTTTATACGATCTAGACCTAGATATTACAGGAACTTGCAAGCTGCAAAAATTGTTCGGAAATGTTTGCTGCACATTTTGCATTTTTACCTTGTAAGGATATAAATGTAGGAATGGAATGAGTACGGTTCTGAAAAATGTCAAGAGTGTTTGGGTTTAGAACGAAAGTGACCGTGTGCAAGAGGATGGACTGCAAGGGATGTTTATGATAGAGTCGGGTGAAAATTTAGGGATGCGTCCAGAGTGGTCCCTGGAAATGGTCGGCAATATGGTACTTCCTGATGAGTGATAATACCACCGAAATAAGGATTAACAAGTTCAAGGATTAACAAATATAAAACCAAAAAGTCAATAAAAAATTATTACGCAAGCCTATCAACATATGAATTCACCATTGTTAAATTAATCAATTAAAATGTGTCATTAAATTACCGTGGTATGTGTAATAAAAGAATGTTCCCAAAAATATAATTTCATAGCGAGTAAACAAATTTTAAACAAATTTTGAGTGGATTATGGATTAATATGTTTCCCAATGGACAAATGAATTCGAGCTTCTTCGTATCGCACTGTCAAGATGACTTTGCTTTGGAAACATAACCTAACAGCGGTTTTGGATATGCACCTGTTATTCAACTGCACACGTGGGTTGTCTGAAGAAGTTTTGCTGACGTGCAACCGGAAGACGTTCGCGGCAGGTTGCACAAAAGTTGCAATTTATTCAACTGCACACGTGGTCTGAAGAAGTTTTGCTGACGTGCAACCGGAAGACGTTCGCGGCAGGTTGCACAAAAGTTGCAGTTGAATTTCTCGTACAGTGTTACTGCAAAATTGCTCAGCTACGTAACTTTATTTCAATAGAGAAGTATCCAGCACGAAAATACTAAAATTTTTTTAAAGACAACGCTCTGCGATGAATTACAAATAATTTGGAAATAATTATACGCCTTTTATACCATCTTTCGGATTCGAGATAATTTTTCAGATAATTTTTAATATTCTAATATATAAAATTATCTCACGCAAATTCTAGTGCAATAATATTATTATTATTGAAGCAATAGCAATATTTCATGGTATTCAAATGATATCTGTCGCAAAATAAGAATATCGTATTCAGCCTATTCAAAATTCGAAATTTTCTATTATCTTTTGATAGCAATAAATTATCGAATTAAGAGTTTTTTAATATGTTTTAGTCGTCTTAGAATTTTAACGTGTCTCACATTTCGTAAAATTTATTTTGTTATCTGGTAGAGAGCGAAATTAAATTTCTGGTTATTTTTTATTCTACCACAATTTCGTAGACTGAAAACAGTATATAGTCACGTATGCTATAGTATAGCTTCATTCAAAGTATTATATCCACAGTCTGAATGCTTCTATGCGATGCTTGCTTCTCCATAAGAAGCACTCAAACGTGTCTCACGTGTTATATGCGATTCCTGAGGTATTCCTTGCATAAATGAGGGTTTATGAAAAGCATAAGACGTAACAGATGCATAGAAACTTGATATGACAGAAACGAATCGAATTTGGAATTAGGAGAAATCATAAACAAATTTTCTGCAATTAATTTTTTAAATATTTTTTATATCTTCTTTTTTTAAATTATCTAATAATATAAAATTATATTATAAAATAATTATTTTATTGATAATTAAATTATAATTATTTCTTTTAGTTATTATAATGTAATATTAGAATTTCCTTATACGTTATATTTTATATTTTTCTTTAATTAATATTTCTTCAATTGTCACCTTTCGTAATTTTCACGGTTAGTGGAAAGGAATTTATGGTGGAGAGGGAAGACATGCAAGAGAGCACGAGACCGTGAATTTCTCGCAATTTTGTCGCAATTACTTTTGACCTTAGATAAAGTTTCTTGCGTGTTTTCGTTGCTGTTTTCATTTATCGTGTAAACGAAATATTTATTGTGTGATTTTCGTAATCTATAAAGCTAATTACGTCTGATCCATTTTTGATTTTTTATATTTGATCCATTTTATACTTTCCACTTTGTTTCCATTATTAATAATTTTTACGATACTTATTACTCTCATTTAATTAATTGGTAAATACAAATGATTCGATTTAATTAATTTAATGTAAAATCTTGATTAAAATAATTATAGTTTTATATAAAAAAAGAAAAAAAATAATAGAAAAAGAATTTATATGTTGTAAAAGTAGAATTTATTTAATCATTTCAATTATTATGCTAATTCCTGTAAACATATTTCGAAATATATGTTGGAAGTATAAAGAGACAAAATAAGGAGATATGTTGGCATATGTACTGACAGTAGAATACTGTGCTTATGTTCAGACAACTCTCACCACTAGGCAATTATCAACGAAGACGACGAAAAAACTAGAAACTAGAAAATAGAAACTAGAAAATAACTGAAATCAAGTAAATGTTATGAAATATTTTATTAAATTCTGTAATTAAATTTATCATGCCTTCATTCCATAACCCATTCATATTGTATTAATTTCTAAAAAATATTTCAAATCAATTTTATAATTTTTACAATTTATTAAAAAATGTATAAAATTTATAAAAATTGTAAAAACATACTGTAGTTTTCTAAGCCGTCTAATTTTTATCTATTCTAACTGTTGACTACATGTTATAATTTTTCGAAGGTTTCATAAAAATACTAGAAGTCTTGTATTAAATTGCACTAGAGTATCGCGAAGATTTATGACTGCTTCTTACAATTTCAAATATCAATTTCAAAATTATGCAAAATAAATATCTAAATTTATATTTATAGCTTGGTTATGCTATATATTTCAGAAACATGAAGGAACAAACAGAATGGTGGATCGCAATGACGTTCCTTGTTGCACTAGTGACACAACAAATAAGCATAGCAAATGCTAAGGATACTACATCTGGACATGAAAAATATTCGAGAAGTGCAGGTAAAAATTAAATTAAATTTAACAAAGTATTTAAATAAAATTACTATTTTAATCTACTTAACTAATTATTCCAATTTTTACAATTTATGATAAAAATTGGTTCATTTTCTAGAATAAAAACGAAATTTATACAATTATTATTATTTAATGTATACTGAAACCTATATATATATATATATATATAGTGTATTGATATTCAGGAAAATAATTTAATTTCTAAGTTACCAAATAAGTTTCATGATTTTTAAATTATCGTTGTTATCAATAAATTTTTATTACCTTAGAAATTTTTACATCTTTTTTAATTCTCTTATTTTCAAACGTAATATTTTGATCAAAGTAATCGAAATTGTTGTGAAATTATTATTAAAGTCTAATAACAATGTAATTACAATTGTAGTAGCCTGTATATAATTTTTCAATTCTATATTTATTTCATACTGCAGTTCAAATTTCTCGTGATACACAGTGAGCGCAATTTAGGATCATAAACCGATATTTCTGAAGCAAGTTCATTATGAGTCACAACAAACTAGCGTCACATTTTATTGTCACTTTCGAATGTTATTAAACTAAATGTACTTCCTGTGCGCCAAATGACCAGAATTTCTATGATCGCTGAAACTACGAGAGAAACTATACACGTGCGTGCACTTTACGACCAAGTATTTTCGATTATCTGTTATTTATATTTTCTATAACAACTGCACTAGAGAAAAATACTTTTATACATACTCATTATTATATAATTAAATCAGTAAGTTGCAATAAAAATAATATACCAACTATGAGATAAACTAGAATTTTTATTTTCGAAATATTTTTACACTTTCAAAACCAAAGAGTAACTCTGCTATAACGATTCATATAAATTCATTTATATTAACAGGAATAAATTTAGATAAAAATTAAATACACTCTAGAGCGAAAATTATCAAAGAAATTTGAATCAATAAAATAAAATAAAATAAAAAAGACACCAGGTATATTAATCACGTTAATTACCCACGTTCACTTTTAAATGCTAATGCAAATTCCTGTTACACTAAACGTCCATCCGATAATTAATCGATGAGGTGGATGTGCTTTTAATTAGCAGATACTTTATTCAAGTTCTTGCCTCCTCGAATGAAATACCTATAATCGAGATCAAGTGGATACGTAGGTAACGGACAAAAAACTCACACAGATTTATACATATATATAGATATACACAGCTTGATAAAGCTCCAGGTGTGCCCAATTAAATACCAGTCCACTTCCTCAAACAAAGGGGTCAGTAATCCATTAATAACGAAACCGAACACCTGTGTGCGTTTTTATTTCTTTGTGGTTTCTCCTTTCCCTAACCGAGATTGAAAGGACAGCCGAGGGAAGCATGGAACAGGAACACAGGAAGGAAGAAAGAGAAACGTTACGTTTGCACTCGTTTCTTCAAGGCTTGGATATTTTGCTCGTGCATTCTGCTTTCTAGAATGCCAATTAAACTCTTAATAATCGAAGCAAGAATACCGAGCGAAAGAAACTAGAGCAACGAGTTCCTTGTGCAACAAGTGGGAGTTAATAGCAAGAAACGCCTCTCGAGATATATGTAGAACTCGCGCGGCATGCCGGAATTCCAGCACTGTTTTCGAGGGACGTTCTCTGATGAATGCTGCCATCGTTAAACGGGCCCGCGTGTTTCCGTATGCCGCCGCGACAACTCAATGGCGCGACTGAGTTGCGCTGATCAAGATGGCGCGCTGATGCCTGACTCGGGTATCTACGTTTCGAGTAATTGAAATTTTTAACTCTGTCATTCATTTCGTTGTCACGAATTAGACAGTCTGCTCTGAAGTTTCGATCCCCTCGTCTATGTAGATATAAAATACGCAGAGTCTGACAAATAATAGCTTTATTTTCGAGGAAATTAATTTTAAATATTTCGTGGAAGTGGATTTACTTACGTTTATGTTTAATGCATTGGCTAACGGGGGTCATGCGAGGTATACGATGAAGCTAGATAGTCAGGCATGGTAAATTTTATTACTTTAGAAATTATTGAAAATATTTCTACTCTAACGCATAATTCCCTATTTTAAATTACGTTGCTGCGGATATTTTCTACCACGTTCTAGCGATTTATCTGATTAATCGTTACGATAGTAAAACCCATGCAAAGTAGAATGAATATATTATATATGACCATAGATATCGATCTACAAGGATATACTTATTGCAATATGCATTGCACCCACGAAGCAAATATTTAAAGTCGATTCTCTCAGAAACCGAGCCACCAAGGAAAAAATTTTATTGCATATTTTTTGTTTATTTTTTCACGTAGAACCACTACCTGTAGCATTCTACTACCGGTTACGATCCGCTTTAGATAAAAATCGTTGCAAGCTAATAGAACCTGGTGCATATGGAAGAAGTCAAGCGGAAACAAAAGTATTCCGCTAATTTCATCTTGCACACCGCTTAACGCGCGAATATATATCTCGTAGGTTCTCGAAATCACACGGCAGAAATCAAATTGCTACTCACGAGGCCGGTCCCAGGGCACGGGGCGTTCGTTTAACATCCACAACGACCAACTCCAGCGCGCGAGCAATTTGGCCAGGCTCCAAGGCGATACTCCACGGCGCTGATTGAAATTCAAATTCGGCCAGGAGTTTACCAAATGCCCTGTAGCCAGCTTACGCGGCTGACTAGGTTCGTTCATTTGCTGAGTTGGCCGTGGCCACATCGATAAGATCTGTCTCCGTTGGTATAACATTCATCGTTCGAACTGAAAGCAGTGAAAGGCATCGGCTCGTGGCAACGAGCGCGTTTCACGATCTATTACGTCGACATAGGATTCCTTACGATTGTCCATAACGCGGTGAACGTGGCCGATCGGAAGGTATGCGCATGATAAATCTGCGAAAAGAATTCCCCTAGCCATTCAATACATCGACGCAATCCCCCTAGCGTAAGCAGACAAAGATCCCAGGGAAAGACGCCGATCCGCGTGCCATCTTTGTCGTGGGAAAATCGCAGTGTTCTACTGTCGATACACGGTGAGGCACAACAAAGCAGCTTGGCATTAAACCCCCTTTATCCCGATTAGAATGATCACGGTTACGCACTGACTACCGTGGTTCCGGGTAAACGAGCTGAGAAACGAGAGAACGGGTCTAAAGGTGTGATTTAATTACTACACGTTGTCAGGTGAGCACAGCGGTGTTGATCGCGGAGGATATCGATGAAATATTTTTGATTATCCGACGACGGATATCGATTGATACGATGAATTTTTTATTTAATAGGACTACTGGATTGTGTCAAGATCGATTAGGTTAGGTCCACTGAAAATTATTGTACTTTCAGTAATGTTGATAGGATGAGTTTATTTAATAGGACAACTGGATTGGTCCAGGTGGCTTTTGGATATTTTTTATTTTTTTAATTATTGATTATAAATAGGTGATATTTGGCTAAATTAACGTTGAACTTTATTCAAACAGATATAATTATGCATAGCTATTTTATATTATTTTTTATTATCAGATTTCTCATTTATTTCCATAATTTTATTCCCATTTATTATAGTAATACTGTAATTAATATTGTCTATCTGTACCATATATATATCTATCTGCACCAAATATACATATATTAAAGATTGGTAGTTTTAATGTCAAGATTGATTAGACTACGTCCACTGAAAATTATTGTACTTTCACTAATGTTGACAGGATGAGTTTATTTAATAGGACAACTGGATTGGTCTAGGTGGCTTTTGGATATTTTTTATTTTTTTAATTATTGATTATAAATAGGTGATATTTGGCTAAATTAACGTTGAATTTTATTCAAACAGAGATATAATTATGCATAGCTATTTTATATTATTTTTTATTATTAGATTTCTCATTTATTTCCATAATTTTATTCCCATTTATTATAGTAATACTCTAATTAGTATTGCGTATCCGTATCATATTGAGATATATTAAAGATTGGTAGTTCTAGTGTCAAAATTACTTTTTATTATTAGATTCCTTATTTCTTTCATTTTATTCCCATTTATTATAATAATACTGTAATTAGTATTGCGTATCCGTATCATATTAAGATATATTATATTAAAGATTGGTAGTTTTACTGTCAAGATCGATTATGTCGACTGAAAATTATGGCACTTTTAATACTGTTTAATTATCTCTGTTATTTCTAACAAAAAAAAGAAACTTGCGAAAGAAAAGTTGCACAGTTCCATGTGGTAAATATAACACTGAAACGAAATTCCTTTTTCAGTCATTTAAATTGCAATCTCAGGGGTGTTAATAATTTTCCAAACGAAATTGTGCATTTTCGTTAACGTAATATTGCAGCTGGTAATAAAACGAATTCGTGAATGTAAGAGTGAATGAACTTAAAAGGGTCAATTGGAGAAAGATATTATTTTATCTCGCTCGAGGAGTGAGTCAGAGAATACCTGTATTCTGTACTACTGAAAGTTGTACTTCCGGCAAATGTCGTGGGTCACTTATGACGCATACAGTGTGGAACATTGGACTAAATTCATCAGAATTATTTGTCAAAAATCTACCGATATCTTTCATCGTTTCACGACAAAGAAAAATATTTTATGGAGGGACTGAAGTAGAAAATTTTCCAGTTACGAATTATATCAAAATTCATGTTCACTGCTTTGGAATAATTATAAAAAGAAAAATTAAGAAACTTACACAGACATACATTAGACAATTCAATTTCTAATTATTATTTCATTTCTGTTCCAGGAAACGAAGGGAAACCGTCAGATTTAGAAGGATCCGAAACTAGCTATGGTTTTCCCTATACGAATAAATATGGAAACTCGTATAGCACATTTCCTTATCCTGCTGCTTCGTATTCACCTCCTTATTTATCCACTGGGTATGTATACGAAAATTACAAACTAAATTTTCCACATTTTCGAACAATGCTAAATTATTCTTTCTTGTATTATGATATTTGAATATTGTTTAAGACCGTACGTTGGTTTTGCACAAAACACGACGTTTAATATACATCAAGAAATCAGGTGTGGTGACACTTACCCACGTAGATGTGGGAAAAAGAGGTATCGAACTTTCGATGGGTCCTGTAACAACCTGCACAACCCTACATGGGGTATGGCAAACACGAGATACGGACGACTCCTGCCAGCAAATTATGCAGATGGTAAGAATGAATTTTTACATTTCCTTTATCTCTTAAATATAGAAAATTTTCTCCTAGACATAGAAAAAGCTAACATCAACCACTAAATGATTTTTCTTCCATTTCTATCTATTTATTAAGTTTTTACAATTTATATACTTTATACAGTAGGTTCAGGAAATTATATTTTCTTAGGGAAATATTTTACTCTTGTTAAAATATTATTTTGTAAATAAGGATAGTCTAATATTTTTATCAAATTTAGTCAAGAAAAATATTTATAATTGTATAAGTATAGTGAAGTAAGTAGTATAGCAAGTACTATATTAAAGTTCACATTTCCTCTAAAATTTTGCAAGAGAATTAACTTCTTTACTATTTCTGATGAATAAAAATTCATTAATATTAATAATTTAGTTTTACTAACCACTAAAAATTGCATTTCACAGCAATAAATTTTCCTTTCTGTTTCTAACGCGAATTACTATCATGTAGCATAAACCTAAATATAGTGCTCACAGAGAATGTTACTTAAAGTTGTATATTAATAATAAATAGATACATGCAGTTACATACAATTTTCTCAAAAAACAATTGTATGTTCTCAAAAATTGTAAAAAAACGAGAAATACGAGTCCAGTTATTGCCTAATTTGGTGATACTAGTATTAAAAATCATTATGACGAGTCACGTTTCTATAACTATTTTAAATTGCATAACCAGTTTACTATACTATAGTATAAAGGAATAAAAATGAATAACTAGTTTACGATTGAGGCTTATGTTATGATATAATATGCTCGTCTACACTACTACACTACTACAGTGAGTCGAACAAGTTGGAGAACTAAATTTACGTATAGCAGTCGTTGGTCCAGTCCACGTGTTATCCAATCGATTTTATCACATTCTCCCGATTTACAGCCGAGAAAAAAATACTTCCGTAATCGATACAAAATTGACCCAACCTCACTTTCACTATCTGCGGCTCAATCTAATTCGTTGTGGCGCGCGCCATCTACTTAGTCAAGGTTTTGTTTGACCGTTGCAAACAATTATACACGACGGTCCGCCATTATACCATAACGAACTTTTTCGCGTACATCTGTCAATCTCCGTCAAACATCGTGAAACGTCTGAAAGGAAATGCTCAGCAACTGTGAGAAGGATCTAACGAAATACTAGCACCTTTTTCTGTCGCATTTTCGAAATGATTGCATTATATAAATTGAGACACTTAGCAATCCAAGTGGTCAACTCTACTTTCTATTTAATTTTAAAATCAAAGTGTGTGATTGGCATTTAACTGTTTGAAAACCGGTTCATTGCAATACAGTTAGTCAAATTGGCAACTATGTGGCTCAATTGACTTTGGCAGAAAAACTTCTCTTCTATTTAATCGTTATATAGTACATGTATGGAATTCATATACACAGTGACTCGAAAATCCGATCACATGCCCTCGGCATATGTTTTATAAGAGTAAATTATATATTCGGTCTTGGGTATTGCCAACTAAATATAACGAGGCCTATCTGTCACAAGTGAAAACAGGATTTCGTGGTACAGGTATTGAAGGCGTTCACGTGTAAACTTTCAAAAAGCAAAACACGAAATACGATCATTTCTCCAATGAATATGCGTCATTGCAGGCGCTAATGTAACGACAAATCCAACTTCTAAGAAAAATACCATATTTATGGGAATAAATAAATTATGCGCGATTAAAAATTAAATTGGACGAAATTAATCATAAATGTACTATCTATCGATGCAAAGAACACTTTTCTCCAAGACAACGTGAAATCAGAAAATATATTTCTTATTATCGTTAATTCACCTTTTATCGATGGAGGATCACGTGCGATATAAATCGAAGAAATTTCATTCAGAAATGCAATTCCTGGTACCGTTTTATTCCCTAGGTTTTAAATTGTCGAAATATCGTGCGATTTCCATCGACCTAACGATTCGTAGAACGCGTGTCGAAGCGAATTCCGCGCAACGTTTATTTTTTCGACACTACCACTGATAGATACAGTTCCCTCTAGCGGTCACGCTTCGCTTCACCTCAAAACGAAACGGGTCAGAGTAGAGCGGTGTCCGTTCTACGTCGATGGCGTATTATATGGATCGTGATGCAAATTCTGCGGTTATGTTTAACGTCTACAGTTATTGCACCATGATTAATATCTTCCTTGCAGCTGATGAAGGTCAAGGAAAAGGGAAATTAAAATTTACTAATCTGAAATTTTCTTTTATATATGTATATACGCGTGATAATTAAAAATCTGATAATCGATAATTGAAATTGAGTCAAATCGAGTCAAATGAATAATTAAAAATGGGAAAATGTATTGCATATTTTCAGATCCTTTGTTTTTGATTAACTGACAGATTAAATTATTATTGACAAAGATAGTTGTTCAGATAAGTATCATAATTTTTAATTAGCTATTTTCATGTATACAATTGATATATTTGTACACATTTTTGTTTGAAATTATGTTCCACAATTTTAGGTTCTTGCATTATATTGTATTACACTTTATTAATATATAAAATTGCTTTCAGTAATATATTCAGTAATATTATTATACTATTTAGTATGAAATTGAAAGTATAGGGTATCCAATCTAAAATATCTATCTTAATCACCATCTATGTTTTTCTAAAGAAAAATAGTAATTATCTTAAAAATTACGAAAACAACTTATAACAATAATTATCTGCAACACCTAGTATTTAGTATAATTTAAATTACATTTGCAATACTTTTTCCAAATATGAATGCAATATGTAATTAAATAATTTACACTGGCATTTTGTATCCTGTATTTCATAGTAGAATAAATCAAACTCCCTGCAACAATATAATTATCCATATTCGCAATTGTGTTATAAATCTATTATGCAATTATGACACAGATTTACTTAAAAATTACTTACGCGTTGGTTCGAGTATAAAACGCAATGAGATCTCAGATAAGCTCCACTCCTTTCGTACACAGAAACAAACATGACGCAAAACGTAAAAACCAAGCAACGATGTATAGCATAGTTGAACTGTTTTCTGATATTTCGTTGCAAAATTGTAACAGTAATATAATGGTATATGAGAATAAAAGAAGTGGGATAGAATATGAGATTCTATCCAATTTATTATTCATTTCTACAATTTCCAGACTGTATATCATTGACATAATTGACCAACTTTTAGAAAGAAAAACAAGTTTATGAAGTTGCATAGAATGCTCGATGAAGTTATTACTTCAGCCATATTTCTAGATTTCCAATTTTCAGGGCAATAAATGTAATAAAAAATTAATTAATCTTATTTCTTAATTCTCTTCTATTTTTTGATTCCAATTATTTTTATTCGGTCCTTTAAGTTAAATTTACTACACTGAATTTATTTTATCTTTAATTATTTATACCGATTTTATCTTATGCTCTATCTAATTTCAATCTTCAAAATTTCCAGTATAATACAAGTTATTAAATTATTGAAATTACATTAGGTAATAAAAATTAATTAAACATGAAACAATTAATTAAATTTAATTCTGATGTAGTGCAGAGGATAATATCTCCAAAAATAAAAATAATAAGAATTATTTAATTAATTAATTAGTACTAAACGTTGTTTATTTAATCTCGGTACTTTACATCTGCAAAATAGCAAAGGTTCAAGTAATTTTTATCTCATTTACCTCCATACAGTACGAATTTCATACTTGTTTTGCAAATGTCACTCATTCGCAATGGCATCCTCTTTTATCGTTTCCCTCTCCATTATTCAACGATGAATTTTTTCAAAGATACTACTTTACATATTCGAGATATGCAGTTTACAAAAACTACGCACATGTTTCTATGTCCCCGAGTTATGTAAAATCTTTTGCATACAATTACACGGCATAGATGAAGCAAGAAATAAATTGTCAGTGATGAAAAGAGAATAACATAATGACTATGAAAGGAGAAAATCAGGAAATACGCATCAGGAAATAATGTACGAAAGTAAAACTTCAGATCGCGTTGTTTGATATTTATAATGGCCTCAATAAAAAGCATTCAAGGATGCATGGAAGATTTATGATTTGATTATTTTACAACCAGAGAAACGTAAAACGCGCTATTGAATGATAATTCAGAAATGTAAGAAAATTCGTATTTAATTATGGCACTTAAACTATATGCACTTGTGCCATTTAAATTGGAGGAATCCATCAATATTAGAAAATTAATTCTACTGAGAATATTGTTCTGATTTGATCCTATATTCTGAACATAAGTATAGGTATTAGATGAAATAAACAGCTCCTTCGTTATGTTTGAACAATAGAAGTATGATTTGTCTTGTAATTTCAATACACCACTGCAAGGGTCGTAAAACTCTGTTGTTTCTACGTTTCCCATGACAAATACCGACTTTCACAGAAACCCGTTCCGATTTCATTGCTGCAAACGCAGTCGAACGTGATTTACACGCTTGCATAGGAACTAGTTTGCCTCCTGTTTTATAAAGTTTGCAATGTAACGCCGATAATTGCGAGCACGTGAGACCATTCTGCAACCATCTTACGGTCTTGCAGCAACCCTTTCGACTCGGTGCCGGCTCCTCTAGGGATATCGAGCACGTACAAGTACCATTTTAGCCGAGTAATCGACATAATCGACGATCATTTTCGACACATGAGATCTTATATCATGGTACGACGCCATTTGTTCTTATTTGTTCAACAACGGTTGTATTACTTCATTCGTTTGCGGTACTATTGCTTAAACTCGGTTATTATTGCTGCAGCATGATTTGTTAAAAATTATTGATCAAATATTACCGATCAAAATTTACAATTATTTATTGTAGAAACGAAGACTGATCGAAATTTTCAATTATTAATACAAGATGATTAATATGTATTTCCAATTATTAATGAAAAATGGTTAATTATAATTATTTAAAAATCGTGAAGAATTAATTTGTTAAAATTAATTATGTGCAGCAATTATATCCAGTTCCAGGAATGATAATAAATTACACAAACGTGGAAAAAACAAAATGCTTAAACTTGGTTATTATAGCTGCAGCATGATATGTTAAAAATTATTGATCAAATATTACCGATCAACATTTACAATTATTAATACTACACGATTAACGAGAATTAGAAATTACCAATTATTAGTACAAAATGATTAATAAAAATTTCCTGTTATCGATAAAAAGAAGATTAATACGTATTTCCAATTATTAAAGAAAAATGGTTAATTATATTATATTATAAATATATTATAAAAATTATATTATAAAAATAATATACTTATTATTTAATTATTTTGTATTTAAAATTATATTAAAAAATATTATAAAAATGGTTAATTATAATTAATTATATTAATTATTTAAAAAAGTGAAGAACTAATTTGTTAAAATTAATTATGCCCAGCAATTATATCCAGTTCCAGAAATGATAGTAAATTACACAAACGTGGACAAAACAAAACAGCTACCATTTTCATGTTCCTTTTTATCAAGCCATTGTCCTAACTCGATTATTATATAAGACCGAGCTTTCATCATAAGAATAAGTCCTGCTTATTTCTTCCAAGTACTTTTAGTTGCTGTCCTATTCGTCTAAGCTTCCGTATATCGCCTAACTCATGCGGAACCTATTTGTCCACTTCCTTCACTTTTTCTATTTCAGGCCAGTGATGAATAATAGCAGGCTACTTTACTTTCATTCGAAACGCAATTTCTTCCACTGTCCGCAAATTTTTTCCAAAACGATATCTCTTAAAACTACACTGCCGATGACATTTTCCGGTTTTCGTCTTAATTCATTTCCGCACGAGAAATCGTCACGTTTGAATTCCTTAATCTTCTCCAAATGCTAATTTTCTGCCTTCGGTGACATTTGCGACTGAATACGAGTGACAATTTCCTATATTAAATTCGTATTCAAAAATCAGAGGAATATTCTGAATATTCACGATGGCCTATAGATAATTTGTGAAATTTCTGTTGCAATTCTAGATACTATTAAATATATATGTTTTAGCACAAATTTCTTCTCATTTATATAATTAATGACGACTAGAACATAATTTGTAAATTAAAGGAAATTTCTCTTTTTATATATGAGTGATGAAAATTAGGACACGATTTAAAATATCATAGTAAATAATATTTTAATAATTATTCTAAATATTTTTATAACAGATATTATAAAATGAAATATATTAAATCAATAATTGTTTTCTCTGGTTGATGGCAACAAAAATGCAATGTGTATTAAAGAAAATTTTTCCTTTCCTAATATTTGCAAATAGTAATGATTAATAATGACAGAAGAAAAGAATAATAAAAATTGACCAATTCTGAACTTAGCCTAGCTCGATCAAATAGAAATATCAACAAGTTTTCAGAAACTCTAACTGCATACTTACAATATTAATGCATATGAATGAGAAACTTATAATAATTTATTTTTCAAATGCTAAAAGACTTTTCAAGAAAATTCGCTGAATTATTTTCATCGTCAGCTTCTAAGAATCATCAGCTGTTATTAAAATTATCATTTATGAATAATAGTGTTAGCTCATAGTATATAATCTTCAAAGAGACGCCGTTTCAGACGCAGAAAATTCCATGTCACTAATGATAGTAACCTTTCGTGATGACATTTTTAATATTCCCATGTGGTGCATGAGGAAATAACTGACTAAGGAAATATCGAGTCGTGATGCAGTGGAAATACCGATGCAAGAGTGATGAATGGACCGCATCTCATTCCATTATACCGCCTGCGATTCCGTGACAAATATATTTTGCAATTGTTCGACTTTCTAGTGACGAATTAGGATCCGTGAAATTCGCGTTATTCGCGCGAAAGTGGTTAATTGTCGCGTTTTATTATTTCGTCGGCGAAGAAAAAAGAGGATTCGCGATATCTTACTAGTTACGAAATTTTATAACCACGTATTCGCGAATCTTCAGTTTCATTTTTCGCGTTATTATAAATATAAATTGAATTTGATTGATTTATTATTTTATATAATTTACGACGATGCGAATTTGTTAGAAATTTTAAAAACAAGAATACGAATTGCATATTTATATTATTTTCATATGTAAACAGTAAATACGGAATTTTCCGTTTATTTATTATTAATAATTCAGCATTATTAACACACGCGATATTAATTATTATTTTTGTTAGTGTAAATACGTGAATAAATATATAATAACCATAGTAAAACTGATATT